CTCCTGCTCCCAAGGTGCTGCTCTGCTCTGCTGTGCATTGTTTAGGCTGACATCAGGAGCTGCACATGGACAATCGTGCCTGCTGCACAGCTCTTGGCACTTTGCTGTGTGCTCACCTTGGCTTTTGGGGCTCCATCCATCCCTTGCTGCCTCCAGGGCTTTGCAGCAGTGATCCCCCTTGGAGTGCCAGCAGGTTCAAGCCTCTGCAAGTGCAGTATTTAGTGTTCAGCATTCCTCTTTTCATACAAACACCCAACCCAACATGAAGATACTTAGACATTCCTCCAACTCCAATTCTGGCCTGGTTGCTTGGGATACAAGAAGGAGTTTGGCACATTCAGCAAACGCTCAACATGCATTAGTATCATAATTGAATACAGTGTCTCCTGGCAGGTCATCCAAGGCCAGATCCTGGTTACCTGGCCCTGAAAACCATCCCCTCCATCCAGCTAGACTGTTTTGGAGGCTAAGGCCTTACTCTGCAGGACTGCACGTGGTATGGAAAGTCCTTCCTGATGGAGTTCAGCAGCTTTACAGGCTGTCTGAGCATGGATTTCCATCTCAAGAACTAAGATATCTCCTTCAGCCTCCCAGATAACACTGGCTCACTTCTAGTCTCAATACTCCTCATTTCCCACCTATGATGGGAGCTCAGCCTGACTTCCATAAGAATTAAAAGGAACATCATAGAATCCTAAGCTCGTCTAGTTGGGGAAAGAGACTTAAGACCATCAAGACCAACTATCAGTCTAACACTACCAAATCCACCAATAAAACATGTCCCACGATGCCACATCCACATGTCTCTTAAATATCTCCAAGGATGGAGACTCTACTGGGCAGCCTGTTCCAATGCCTGAGCAGAGTTTCTATGAACACAGGTTTGATACCAGGAAACATTTCTTCTCCAAAAGACTGGTGATGCATTGGCACAGGCTGTCCAAGGAGGTGATAGCAACACCATCCCAGGAGGTATTCAAGAACCATGGAGATCTGGCAGTGAGGGACATGGTCAGTGGGCATGGTAGGATGGATTGGGCTTGGGAATCGGGAGGTCTTTTCCAGCCTTATTGATTCTATGATTCCATATGTTCAGTCTAAACCTCCCTGGCACAACTCAAGGCCATTTGCATCAGAGACTCTATCTGAAAGACCTATCTTGCACTTTATATGGGACATCATTAACCTCTTGAATGTGAACAAGAGTGTCTTCTGACTGGTGACATGACTCTGGCTGGCTGCACCAAGCTGCTGCCTAAGTCTGGGCTGTAATCTTCAAGGATCCTGTAAATAAATCATGGGATCACAGAGTAATTAAGGTCCAACCATCAGTGTATCATTATGGGAGATTAAAGGCAGCAGTAAAGGAATGCTGGAGTGGAATCCCAATTCAAGCCAATGCAACCGGTAAAAGTAAAAGAAAGCTCCCTAGAATTAATGGAAAATTTCCCTATGGTTTCCTACGTACTTCAGCTCTGCCTATGGCATCCCCATTTTCCACCATGCCTCCTCCATGCAGTGCTGCATAACGTGTGCTTTCTTTTCACCTTGCCCCAGCCCTGGCGTACGGCTCATGGTCAGCTTCTGTGTGCACGAAGCTGAAAAATGTGGCACTAGATGGCAGCATGCGACACCACAAGCTGCAGCCCGGATCACACATTGCTCACATACCACATCCCACCGATCACTGCATCCAGCAGGAAGCAGTTTTGGGCTTTCTGCTTAAGTTGTGCCATGTGCTCAGAAAGCAGGATGTTTGCTTCCCTGTCCCCAGGCCAAGCAGAGCAGCTCTATGGGAATCTTCATACATTCACCCTACCTGCGGTTGCCGAGGCGGGTGCAGCTTGATGATGCTGCTGGCTCCATTCTCTCCAACCAGCACAGTGCTGAAGTCAAAGGGCCCTGAGGGATCAGAAAAGGAGAAGATGAAGCGAGGTCACTTTTGGATGTCTGCTCCTGGGCTTTACTCAACTACAGCTTTCTACCACATTTTTATTAGCATTTCCCAAACCCATCTGTCCCAGTTTTTTGGCCATTGAGGTGGTGGTGCCCCATACCTGCAGACAGCCAAAAGTCAGGCTGGATGAGCTCTGAGCACCTGATGGAGCTGTGGGTGTCTCTGTTCGTTGCAGGGGATTTGGACCAGATGGCCTTGAAGGCAGCTCCCTTCCAATTCAAAGAGTCTGTGATACTACTCCAGTAACAGAAGGTACAAATTATTGTTACCCACAGAAATAACACATGGATGTATTTGCATCTAAGAAACCCATCTGCCACATGCCTCTCTTCTCCCTTTACAGCCCCTCACACAGTCCATATATGACAATGACCAACCTCTGTGTCTCCTGTAGCATCTCTGGGGCCTCTCCTTCTACACACAGCACCTCACTGAGCTCTATGGCCACCCCAGTTTCCTGTCCCAATGCAGAGAACAGGCAGAGAGCTGAGCCTCTTTTTGCTGCTCAGCCACAAAATCACACAGAAGGGACCTTAAAGATCACCTGGCTACCACCCACCAGCACCTGTTACTTATTAAGGCAGTGCTTTAACTGAGCTCAACCTGCCCTGAGCTCTGTGCTGTTCCTCCTGGGTGCACAGGAGTGTTATTGCTTGCACAATTAAACATGCACAGTAACTGTTACAGCTTCTCTGTCCTCCCTAAACCTGCCCTTGGGTGTCTGAATGCCATTCCATGTGAGTCATTGAGCTTCCCATATCTTGGCCTCTTGGGAGGGGGTATGGGGATAAAGGGCTGGGCTGTGGCACGGAGAGACAGGGAAAAAGGTACTGCATGGGTGTTAAATCCACATTTACCAGTTGCACAAAGTGGAAGGTGCCCTGATGGGACTGCAGTACCCCCAAACCCAATCTATTCACCCCAGACCACTGTCACACCAAAGCTTTGTGTGCTGTCACAGCACCCTGCTGTCCCTCCACAGGCATTCCTTGTGTCCTGCTCCATGTGAGCACAAACCTCCTCCTTCACCTCTAGGTTTGGGTATGGGACATCTGGGGCACAGCACATTGCAGCAGGACTCACCTTCCTCCACCTCTTGCTAGTGGAGTCAGCCTGGTGCTGTGGGGCTCTGATTTATTTTAATGCTGAATTTCACATCTAATTAAAGTCTAACTCTAATTAAGATAATGATATGGCTGTGCCCAGCGGTGCACGTTATGGGGCTGAGATATGAATGCTGCGTCTGGCACTGCAGGGGTGCTGTGAACTGGGCTCTGAGACCATCTCAAAAGGCTCTGGGAAGGGAAACGGTTGCTGGGAAAAGCCTCCCCCCTTTGCTCCATACCTGTAGAGGCTCTCCCATACCCGGTCTGGCGGAGGGGTGGGAGCTGCCCGTGGGTTATGGGATGTCCATGCTCCGTTGTGGCTGTTGGGTGCAGGCTGGGGTCCCCCAGCACCTCCTCACTGCTGAGCATAGGTGCCACCTGGGTCACCCTGGGGTGTGTCTTGGATGAGCTGAGACCCATTTTGTAGAGCTTGGGAAGAAGGAAAAGCCCACTCTGAAAGCAGTGCCGTGATGCAGAGCTCCTGACTGGCTGCCAAGCACAGGGTTGGATCCCACTGCCAAATGCACTCATGTGCCCTTCCCAGCAGGGTTAAACATTGACACGGCCCTGGCCACTGCTTTGTTTTTACCTCCACACGACTTTCAGCAGCACTGCCTCAGCTGGTTGAGTTGGAGGCATTTCTACAAGTGGTTCATTTGCTAAACATTCAGTCTTTGGAAAGAAATTTGATGCTCGGAGTGGGTCACAGCATCTCCAGAACCTCCCCAAGTATACGAAAAGCACCCCCTACTCTTGCTTTATCTCTTGTAGTGGCATTGCTGAAGATAAAAACAGGTTTATCACAAACCCACCTAAAACATCAAAGCCAACGCCAAGATTCAGGTTGGATAATAGGAAACGTTCTCCAGAAGAGCAGTGATGCAGTGGTACATCTGCCCAGGGAGTGCTGGGCTCACCATCCTTGGAGAGGTTCAAGGACTGTGGAGATGTGGCACTGAGGGACCTTGGCAGTAGGCATGGTGGGGGGTGGGCTGGGTCAGATCCTCATCTGGAAATTTGTGTTTTTGGGGGCTGTGGGGCAGGCAGAGTGGCTTTGCTGGGGGTGGGAGGAAGGTATGGCTGCAGAAAGGCTGTGTCTGAGCAGGCACCGGGCGGGTGGGATTCTCAGTTTGTATTCCTCCAATGGATCAGCAACACGGCTGTGCAGAACAGCCCTGGATTTCACATTATTTTCCTTGCTGAATACTTAATGAGGCTCCTTGAAGGATCCAGTGCTGGGCCTGAAGACGCTGCCGTGAAGCTGCGTGCCAAAACGCACTCGTCAATGCATGCTGAAAGGAAATGCTTGTTTTCCCTGTGTGTTTGGTTTGGCAGGAGCTGGAATTCCAGTAAAACACATCTCTACAGCTCTCTGTCGGTGTAAATGAATGTATCAACCCCAAAACCGACCTGGGGTGGTGCCCATTCAGCCACAAGTGTGACTGATCCCAGAAATGCTGGGTCACAGCTCCCCTATGGTGACAGGGAGGGAAGTGGCCAGGTTGGTTTGCTTTGGCTTTTGAAAGGTTTTTCACTGTGGCGGATGAGAAGAACAATTGTTTGGCCCAATGAAATGCTCTAAGAAACGGGATCTGCCATTTCCCAAGGGTGCTGATGGTTCAGGGTGCTCCATTTCTCATGAGAAGGCTCTGGGAGGTACTGGGCTCTTGGTAAAGCTCAGCACCGTTGGGTTCAGTAACACAAGAGCTTAAATGTTTGTGTTTTTTTTTTTTTTAATTAGAAAACATTTTATTGTGGTTATTTACACCCTTTCCTTGGTAAGTGTATAAATGTAAACATTTATTATAGATCTAACTCTCTTATCTTACAACTCATACCCAGTTCAGAGTAAATGGCATTTTTAAGCATACAAGGAGTGAGGAAATTTAAGCTATATTCACAGAATATACACCTGCGTGCAGTACAGTCCACCAGCCCTAAGCTAGTGGTATAGACACTGTGCCATTGGCTCTACTTCTGCTTCTCGTGTGTACACTGGAGTCTGTGATGTCGTCGGCGTGATCCTCACTTTTCTTCTCCTTTAAGCTGTTGATGAACCTCAGGGTTATTTCGTCCCACTCTTCGGGGAGCAGCATCAGCAGGAACCCAATGCAAATGATGATGGTGGCTCCCAACCTCACCACGCTGAAGATCATTTTGTGCTTCAACAGATCCACAGCTGCGAAGGAGAAACAACAGCACCATCAAAACTGCAGCAGGAAAAAGACTGTGGCATCAGATCAGCCTGGCTTATCTCCACGACATGCATCTTAGATGGCCACGTTGTCTGCCATCCCCAAGAGTAACCAGATCTTGGACAATGTAAAAGACTTTTCCTTGTATCTAACCTATTTTCTTGAAGCTTGAAGCCATTTCCCCTTATTCTGTTACTACAGACCCTACTCAAGAGTCTGTCTCCTTCTTTCCTGTAGCTCTCCTTCAGATATTGAAAGGCTACCAACAGGTCATGTCCTTTTGCCACATGGATCAGGGAGGGCAGCAAACTGGAGGTGATGTCTCCAGGCCGAGCGTAATAACAGCACATCTGAGCCCTTGCAGGGCTGACAATCACATCGTGCATCTCTGACCTGCATCCCCCTCTAAATAGATGTTTCTTTGGAAATGTGCCCAGACACCTGGAGTTGCAGGGGGTTGGAGGAGGAAAACAGAAGAGCAGAGACAGCAGCTACTGAAGAAGAAGGAGGACTCGAGTAAAGTTCCACGTGTATGGGCTGCCCTCCATCAGTCACCAGCTCTGGGGCTGCTGCCTGCCTCTCTGTGCTCAGTATGGGCACAGCCACCAAGAAAAAGAAGACAAAAGAAATGGCTTTGGCTAACGAAAAATCCCACCATCACCAGGAGCACGCGTGGGAGCCAAGCGACATCAAATCCCTTCTGAAATACGTGGCAGAACATTTTGACCACTTAGACAAAAAATCTGCTTCTGCTGTCTGCATGCTGATGTGCTTATCTTCTTCCAACCCACGAGCAAGGACTTGTACCTGCATTCCCAGGGACGCTGAGCACTGTGCCAATGGAGATCAGAATGGGGTACGTAAGCACGACGCCAACGTTAACCAGAATGTTGAAGGCTGGGGAAAACAGATAAAATAATACATGATTATGCAGAAGAGCACAAGAATGAGACTCTCCTCCTCCACTCTGACTCCAGAAACGTGATGGGAATTCTATAGTCAGAGTCATTAAGGTTGGAAAAGACCTCTAAGACCATCTAGTCCAACCATCCACCTACCACCATCAATGCCCACTGACCACGTCCCTCAAGATAAAGGGGCACTCATGCAATTAGCCTATGAAGTCAGCTAAGCAGGCTGTACTTAGACCACGGTCTTGCTGCAATGTTGCAGGCAGTACAAATGCTCAGTGTGGATTTATGGGATGTTTTGGGGTTTTCTTTTTAATATAAGTAGTCCTAAACAGCAGAACTCTGGGTGGTAAGTTATCAGTACTTTTTGTCCCTTTGATGCTCACGGAGAAGGTGCCATTCAGCTTAGGAATGGCAAGGGCTTTGCTCTCAGCACCTCAGCTGTCAGACCTGCTGTGTTTTAGCATGGCTGCATTGATGGGCTGTGTACTGGCAACAACATCCTTTTTGTTTCCCTTTAATATACTTGTAGTGGAGACAAACCTCTACAATTATGAAATAATTGAGACTTTAGCAAAGGAAAGGATGTTCTTATACCTGCAAATTAAAACACCCCTGGGCTGAATCCAACAGCTTTTCTGCCTGCCTAGAGGACAGCAATTGTAGCCCTGGAAGAAGAAGTGTTAGGGGAGAGAGGAGGAGAGGAGAAACCTGCAGGAAATGAAACAGACAGCACCAGTCTTTGCAGACTCCCAAAAAGCTGTGCAACCTCTGCCCAGAGCCTGCAGCACCCCCAGAAATGTGTCCTGCATCAGTAAGTCTCCATGTCAGTGCTGCATGCCCTGCAGAGCTTGCCAGGAGCTGCTCGGCTGTGTGCAGCCCTTTGAAATTCCATTTTTAGCAACCAATCTGGGACAGAGAAAGTGAAATATCAATAACACCGCTGTAGGAATGCAAAGATGAAAAGTGAACAATTAGTACGAGCTCTCTGTCTTTGTTCCCTTCTACTAATATTAGTGTTAAGGCCTCCAAAGGAAAGTGTTAATCATTCTTTAAGGAGTACCAGTGTGCACTGAGGTCAGATTCCATCTGGGAGAGCTTTGTACTGGGTGCAAAGGGATGGGACAGAAAAACGAGCACCTTTTTGATCACATACCTAACCAGAGGCCAGCTACTCCACACAGGAAGCCCCACGGCACAGCAGAGAAGGGTGACCAGTATTCCACCTTCGTAAAATACAGTATGATTGGGGTAACAGAGATGAAAATTAAATTGAAGAAGCCCAAGGTGGAAACAAAATGAGCAGCCTCTCCAAAATTCGCACTGCCAAGAAACATCTTGAACAAAACCTACAAAGGAAAGAGAGGGGTTTTAGTCTCATGGCTGTTGTGGAAAGCAAAGTCCTCCTGCACAGCATCCTCCATTTCCTAGGGAATAATGGGGCACAAGAACAGCCCTGACCAGGACAGGGTGTCACATCCCAAAATTCCTTCTTAGCAGAGTTGCCCTCAATGAGTTCTTATCCCAGGGTGTACACACAGCTGGGACTTCCCAGACCAAACTCCAACACCTTGCATTTGGCTTTGCTGAATCTCATTAGGCTCGCATGGGCTCACCTTTTGAGTTGTCCAGGTCCCTCTGGGTGGCATCCCTTCCTTCTGTTCTATCAACTGCATCACTCAGCTTGGTGTCAACAGCAAACTTGCTGAGGGTGCATTTCATGCCATTGTCTGTGTTGTTGATAAAGATGTTGAAGAGCACTGGTCCCAAGACGGACCCCTGGGGGACACTGCTTGTGACCAGCCTCCACCTGGACATAGAGCCATTGACCACAGCCCTCTGGCTGTGATCTTCCAGCCAATTCTTCATCCATCTAATAGTACAGCCTTCAAATAGTCAGCCTTCAACTCTTTCTCCCATTTAGAGATGAGGATGTAGTGTGGAACCATGTCAAAGGCCTCACACAAGTCCATGCAGACAACATATCTTGATGTTTATTATAAAATGCCAGAAGGAGTGTAACTCAGAACCCAAACACATAGCAGTCCATGTAAGGAGAGTTACAGGAGTGAACACAGCCACCTTAGCCCAACCTACAAGGTGGGCTATTTCTAGGTCAGCCATGTCCCTCCCTCCTTCATCTCTCACCTCCAAGAGCAGCTAGTTCTTTCAAGCAGGAGTCAGAGCCCTGCTGTCTCTAATATACCAGGCAAACAGGGGCTCTGAGCCTGGCACGAGAGTGGAATACACAAGAGCTCTGCACTGCAGACCAGGGACGAGATGTCTGTCCCTGCAGAAGGGACACGGTGCTATCTGCTCTCACCCTCTCCTCCCTGCTGCAAACGGCCCACTTGAAACAGTGTCAACAAATGGCAGTGGCAAGAAATGGTTAAAACATGATCCTAAACTCCTTGCAGCAGGATAACAACAGAGATTTCATCAAGGGCTCATAAAGCAAAGGCAATCTGAATATTTGGCAGCAACAGACTAATTACTCTGGGAGTAAGATTTCTGACACTGTGACGTCACCTGGTCACAACACGAATGACACATGAGGGGTAAATAAACAGAAGCATTTAATTCATAGGGATCTGCTCTGTACATTCGCATTATTATCATTTAATGCTAAAAAAAAAATAGAAATATTAATAAAGAGTGACGACCCACCTTATACAGTGCAGATGTAGAGGCTGATCCAACAGCATATGCTACCCCGATAATTGAATCACCCTGGAAACCATCTGCATATGCCATCATTACGATTCCTGTGATTGCCATTATTGCTGCGACTATCTGCACAGACAAAGCAAAGCAACGTGAAGCTCAGCACAGTTTCATTACACAGAAAGAGATTATCACTGCGGGGGGCTTTAATGAGTGTCACTAGCTATGTTCTCTGACTTCAGATCTTCCCAACTTCCCTTAAATAGGTGGTTATATACTGTTGGGAGAGATGTAAAACATAATGAAAGTGTATTGCACTGAGTGATATGGATCTATAGCATTGCAAACTGTCCTGGGAGCTACTCACATACCATCCATCATTACGTATTTTACAAGCTAAAAACCCACTTTAAAGATGTGACTCCAAGACTGAGAGATTTCTAAGATACTTTGCTATGCAAGAGGATGAATACTCATCAAAGCCACCACTTGGACCTGAAATGTAAACATTTTGATGGGAAGCCTTCCTGGAGATCAGCCCAGGAGAATAACTCTTGTGTTGGGGAACAGCTGTACATAACTGGGAGCTGTGTACATTTCCCAATGGCTGTTCCAGCTTTCTTGGACAGATGTGGCCAAATGTCTTCATGAAACCTTTACCTTTCTGGTCAGGGTTTGTAGGGTTGGGGTTTTTTTTGCCTCTTTTGAAAATCCAAGTCAGAGCTTCTAAGAAGCTCAAAGGAAAAAGAACAGAAATATGTATCTACACAGTATGTGAAATCCTGGGTCCTGACTCCAGGAAGCCTCATGAAGTACCAGGGATCAGTCCATGCTTTATTCTTTGAAAAACTCCTCTTTTCCTACCTGCCCTCAGCAGGTAAATAAGGTGTCTTTACCTTATTCTGCTTTCAAAGACAGTGACTACCTAACTTCCATGGACTTCAGAGGGAAATGTTTCCTCAGACCTGGGGAAAATCACAGCTTCATTTCTGAAAGATGGGTTTTTAAATGGATTTTACAAAGAATAAGTATAGCATTAAACACCTTGCCATTATAAATAGAAGACTGTACTAGAGCGTGGCACAGCCAGAAGATGCACAAATGCAGATCCCTAATGTTGGCTGTTACAGAGTCATCAGCAGTTTGTAAGGCTCAGATGCTTTTCTCTTATCAGCTACCCATTAAATCGCACAGTGAGGAGGACAAGGAGGGCCCTCTCCATCCATACAAACTAAAACAAATATAGTTATGCTCAACAGCTGCAGTCAGCTGCTGAGCAGCCTGCTTGGCAGGCAGGGCTTTCATAGAATCACAGAATCATAGAATGGCCAGGGTTGGAAGGGACCTCAAGGATCTTCAACCTCCAACCATCCCACCACAGGCAGGGCCACCAACCTCCACATTTAATACCAGACCAGGCTGCCCAGGGCCCCATCCAACCTGGCCTTGAACACCTCCAGGGATGGGGCATCCACAGCCTCCTCGTCCCTGGGACAACCCCAAACCAACACCAAAAAGAGATGGGCACGGGATTAGGAGTTCTTTCTGGAAAACCTCACTTAGCTGCACATAAGAAATGGTTACCACCAGATGAACTTGAGTTTCACGTGCTTCACACATGCATGGGCAAAGATTTCTCCATAAAACCACCTGCCCTACTGCAGAGCAGTCTGACTTTCAGATGTCACAAAGGTTCACCAAGAGTCCTAGAAACCAACTGATACTTGTACTGAGCAGATGTGAGGCAATAAAGACAAAACCCTCATAAAACAACTTCAATGGCACCACTCAGAAGAGCAAACCATGTCTCAGGGGACACACAAGGTGAGGACACGTGTAAATGTGCCCATGTATGGGAGATTACTGAGAATCAATAATCAACTCCCACGGTGAAGCCAAATCTCTGAGACCGCAGTTATGTTAGCACTCCTAAATCCCAAAGGCTGGAAGGAACCTTTTTAAAGCCCATTGAGTCCCAGTCCCTGTCATGGGCAGAGACACCCCCCACCAGCTCAGGCTGCCCAGAGCTCCATCCAGCCTGGCCTTGGGCACTTCCAGGGATGGGGCACCCACATTTTCTCTATGCCAGCATCTCATCACCTAATAGAGAAGAATTTCTTCCTTATATCTAATCTAAATCTCCCCTCTATTAGTTTAAAGTCATTACTCCTACTCCTGTCACTGCACTCACTGACAAATTATGTAATATTTGTCTAATACTGCTATTCCTCCTTATGGTTTATCCTAGCATACCAATACCACAGCACCCAGCCTTGAAGCAGTGCAGAATCATACTCAGTGCTTCTCTGAAATCAGAATGACATGTCCTGTGATTCTGCAGAGCTCCCCTTGCCCTGCTTACTGCACATCTGGTTTCATCTTGGACTGCATCACACATCCTACCTCATGCATAAATTCAGATGCAGCATTTCAGCTGTCAGCTGAATCCTTCAGCCACAGTATCCCAGGCACTATCTCCCATAAGACAAAACAGGGGAATCTGATGCAGTTATCCCCTTCTTCGGATGGAAAGAATCAAGATTAAACCAACACTCTGACCCAGTAAGTGAAGCCTTTCGTGGTTCTGGTGACCAGTAGATCCATCATCCCCACAGAAAGGAACTTCCTTGTTGGGAAAATCATCTCCCAGCCTGACTACATCCAATTCTGAGAGGCAGTTTCCAAATTTAATCAACAATTTAGAAAGCCAAGCACCTTCTCCCCTGAAACAACCACAGCAATGGACAGACATGGGGCATCATCTCGTAAGACTTCAGAAACATATGACCTGATACGGGAAAACAGAGAGAACATTATTTCAACTTCATGTACAAAGCCCTTCCTGCAAATCACACACCACTGCATTAGCACAGCTGACCTTGTGTGTTTGCTTTAGAAACCTGAGCACACATCCTGCAGACAAGCAGCAGCAAGGCCACGGCCAGGCAAGGCTGACAGCTGACAGCTCGTTAAACAAGACTTTTAATTAATGGAAGAGTGGAATAACTTTCTTTCAGATCTTTATGGATAAGGAATGAAATAAGCTTGCCTTTTTCTTTTTCCTGGAAGACAGCTAGGCCAACTAACAGGAACAATTGCTTTTCTGTGTGCAGCAGATGGCAAAATGGGGTGCTGCAGTAAGGAAATCTGTGTTTGCACTCTAACCAACCTTTTTTGGGTGGGGGAAAAATGCCCTCACAGCACTCTGCACCTACCCAATGAGCATCACTTCAGCTGCCAACTTCACAGAAGAAACACAACCATGAGCTCAAACTTGGGAATGGTTAACTTGTGGCTACATCTAAGCATCACAAACCCACAGAACTCTCCAAAGATGAGAAGTCATTCACACATCTGTGCTTGCTCTGAGCCACAGCTGCCAGCCCTCCACAAATCCCTGTGTAACATGGACACAGGGTGCATCTTATTAATCTGCAAGGCATTCATAAGTGTCCAAGCAAACCAGGTTATGGCGTAGTAGGGTCTGTGTGATGTTCCTTGTGCACTCACTGTGGCTAAGGGTCTGCCTCCACTGAAACTCTGAATCCTTGCTCTTAAGTAAATAGATACACATTCATTGCTGTGTATATCAGTTTCATATAAATATTCTTTCTCCAGTGTGTGTTTTATCATAGAATCATAGAATGGCCTGGGTTGCAAAGGAGCACAGTGCTCAGCCAGCTCCAACCCCCTGCTGTGTGCAGGTCGCCAACCAGCAGCCCAGGCTGCCCAGAGCCACATCCAGCCTGGCCTTGAATGCCTGCAGGGATGGGGCATCCACAACCTGCTTGGGCAACCTGTTCCATGCCCATGTCATCACCCTCTGTATGATAAATTTCTTCCTAATATCTAACTTAAACCTCCCCTCAGTTTTACTCTCTCTGGTTTCCCCAAGCTCCTTCAGCATCACTGCAAAGCACACACTGCAAGTAACTCAAATGCCAGAGCACTATGTGCAGCCTTCCTGCAGCTATTTGATGCTTCCCCACCCAAATCTATGCCACACCTATGGGCAGCCATCACACCATGCCTGTCCTTATGCAGCCCACCTGAAATCCTTCCTGCAGCTGCATTCCACCCCAATGCACTGCAGATATGCCCCACAGCTCCCAGGCTCTGACAGAACAAGTAGCTGAGCTCTGAAATGCTGTCTGGGCTCCAGGCTGCTGTGTGCTTCTACATGGGGTATGCAATTACCCTTTTTATTTCCATCCCCTTCATGCCCAAATAGCCAAATCATGCCTGCTGTCTGAGATGCATTCATAATACCAAAGGCTGAGTCCACGCTGCTTTGCTGTGTTTTAGTTCTCATACACTCTCCTGCGTGGTTATTAACATCATTAAGTGTTACTCTGGCAGGAGGGCTGCTGGAAAACGCTGCTAATTACCCTTCCAGCACAGTGCATGCAGAATCTGCCACTTAGCAGCAAAAGCAGCTTCTTTCATGTGCAGGATTTGCTGTTGGCTTCCTCTGCCAGCTCTTTCTTGTACAAACCTCATGGTGTTTACAGCATTAATACTAATGCATATTTATAACGACTTTGTATCAGTGAAAAACAGCTAATAACAGATAATAGCTTTAGTATTTTTTACCTGCTTTCTTTAAGAAAGTGGGCTATATAAATGCAGTAATTGTGTTTGCTCTTCTAGAAAGAGGTTGCTTTTAGGGAAAAAAGAAAATAGCTTAGAGAGTCCCAAATTTCCTATTTTTTTTTCCCAGCTGGGCTCAGTATCACCTTACACAAGTGAGGAATAACAGCAGGAAGCTGAGATGATCAAGGGACCGAGGGGGGAAAACAGCCTCAGAAGTCACCGCTCCCGTTAATTGCTGTGCAGGAGAACTGAGGATTTCAAACCCTGCTTTTTTGAGCCAGCCATCAGCATGATGGGGGGGTATGGCACGCTCAGATATCTGAGTTTTTACATTTTTAATTATATATGAAATAGATATACAGATGTCTGGCTTTAGCACTGCAAGGTGAGGTGTCCATGCCTTTACCTTCATGGCACGGACCTTTTGCTGAACTCATCCAGCAACAATCCCTACCCAAAGGAGATGTTCTCATGGGACAACATATGGCTGACAATGCTCCATGTCGTTACAGGCTGCCAAGCCAGTCCTGTCCCTCCAGGAAACCCCAGAACTGTTTTACTTTACACTTTTTCTGTCCCCAAAACCCAAGCACAGTGATTGGGCAATGTGCTGCTGTCTGCTCCAAATGCCTGTGCATTAGGGTGCCTTCCCCTTTCACTTCTGAACCAATTCTATCACGCTGCTAATTAAAAGCAAGCTCTTGTCTTCATCATTTCTTATAAAAGCGGCCCACTTGGATAAGCATCCTGATCCTTCAAGCTTTCCATGGAACTTCTACTCTATTGACCCTCCTGATCACAGAACTTCCATTTTATCTGACCCTCCTGATCACAGAACTTCCTTTCTATTGACCCTCCTGATCACAGAACTTCCTTTCCATTGACCCTCCTGATCACAGAACTTCCATTCTATTGACTTTCCTGGTCCTAGGCACCAGCCTGGCCCCACACAGTCACTGGTGGGGCTCAAGGTCCAGAAGGATCACACCCACTGACACCACGAGGTCTTGGACCACCACTTCAATGAGAGAATTTGCACAAGTAGAAACAGGGAAGACTTGGCTGCTCCTTAGCCAAGCTACAGAACACAACCATGCAAACTGCTGCATATCAGGAGATCTCAGATGTGGTGGTGGTTTATGCATGTGTACGTGTGGAATAAGTATATATGTTACATATTGAATACTGCTGCCTGCTCAAACAAGGAATAACATTGCTTTGGTTAGAACCTAAGCATTTATCAGAAGGTTTAAAATAAAATTAACTGACTGTACTTAGCCCCATAACCCAACTGAGTCTGACACCTCTGACTGATCTTCAGGCTAACATCTGGACCACAAAGCTCAATGAGAATGGTTTCATGGTACATGCATACCATAATATGGTGTACACATACCATATTGCAGCAGGACCATGGTAGTGCAATAGCTTATGGTTTGAGGTAAGGGTGAAAATAAGAGAGGTGAAAATCAGGCATGCCATTACCCTTGCTCCCATGAACCTGTCTTTCAGCACAATCCAAGAAAGCAAGAAGACAAAAGCTTTGTTACAACAGAACAGAGCAGAGACGTCTGTGGCTGTCAGCTTCTTTAAAGCCAGTAAATACAAGTAGTTAGTCAAAGTCCACAGAATAGAAAAGGGAGCAGTCCTTTTAAGAAAGAGTTTCAGCGTCAGACCATCTTCACCAAAAATCCGACTGCATTCCCTAAGAAAAGAAAAGAGAGTTTAAAGCTCAGCTAGGGTTCTGCTTAACATTCACTCCAGCACGTCAAACATTCATTAGACTTTTATCACACTCAATTAAGTGCTTTTCTTAACTACTCTGCACTCCTGTAAGAAAGTGTTGTTTAATTCACAGAGAGAAAATAACCAATATTTTTCTCAAAACAGCAGTTTCACAAATAGAAAAGAAGTAGCTTACCTGGAATAATCACAGTCTATGCACCAATAATCCCAGAGGTGCACACGTAAATGAAGGTCATCTATAAAACACTGACAGCTCTCAGCTTCTGCCTTCAAGGCCATGAAAAGGGTGATTATAACTGCAGTCTTTCTCTGTAGCTTGACAACTGTCCTCTTGCTTTGCTCTGATACCTCTTTTTATTTCTATTGGAATATATTCTAGTGTATGGCCAAGAGAGCTTTAGGGACTGCCTGAAAGATACCCACTGGCACGTGAAGCTGAGCCGATGAAACAAGAGAAGAGGAAAGGGCAGGGTATATAACAGGTGTATTTCACAACAGAGTGAAAAGTGTGAATGCAACATGAAACCAAAACGCCAACGGAGCAAACCGAGGTGCCACCAAACTGCAACACATCATTACATGACAACACTAAGGGACTAAGACCAAAATTCCCCCAGGTCTTGGGTCCCCAGAGCTTTCATAGCTTTGGACAATTCCTAAAATACCAATTAGCTGGAATAACTAGAAACTTCAAAGAGTGCATTGCAAAATAAATCAAGTAAAAACTTAGGTTTTCTGTACTTTATTGGGGTGTGGTAGTGGGAATAACAATCTTGGCTTAATTTCCATTTAAAGAGTTGTGTTGGGGTCTCCTTGCCCACTGCTATTAACTCTGGGGAAATCTGCTGTTAAAAAGGTTTCTTGTTTTTTACTATTGTGAATAGAAACCATCATTCTCCATTAGAAGAAAGGAGAGTAATTACATCTATCTAATATATAGGATAACCTATGCTTTATTTCATAGCTATCAATTCCCTCTGCTACTAAGATGAGCTGGGGTACAAAGCAGTCATTTTTGGCAATAACACCAAAACTGGGATGTGCACCGAGCTGATGATGCTCAGGCTGGCAGATCTGCCAATCCTCTCCTTCAGTCTGGATGAGCTGAACGCTCTCAGAAGTCAGCCTGTTTCTATGGAACATTACACATGGAAAGAGAACAGCTCGTGTTGTGTATCACTTATCTCTTCCTTTGTACCTCATTTATCTGAGGTAAACTGAGGCAAACAAATAAATGTTTCAGTTTGAATGCAGGCTGTTGTACCACTGCTTTCAACAGGAGTTAAAAGTGATTAATTTCCTTGTCTGGAAACGGCCCTGCTGGCAGCAGAAACTTGACTACTTGTTGGCCTGCAGATACAGCAGCTGACACTTAAGAGATGTTTTTCTCCCTGTGAGACAGTGGATGCAGAGACGATGCTAAGCTCAGACTGTGTCTCACTTCAGACAGGTGTTGCTGACCTGGATGCACCAAACCTGTGTTAGCATTACGAGATGCCAGAGCTGGTATGCCCTGTCTTGTCAAAAACAGATCTGAACTGTGAACTATAGACCTGCATGGATCCTGACGTTCAAACCAGTGGGAATTCTGCTGTCCACTGAGGTGCACAATTGGATTGTTACATGATTCTAAATCCAACCTGTCTCAGATGCTGTCAGAATCTGTCTTAGAGGGAACAAGCTTGTGCTATATTAAAATGAGAGATTGGTGCTTGGGCTGCTCAAAATAATGCAGGGCACGATTAACTATCCCAGTGCTATGCCAATAGCATACAAACAGCAAAATCATCCAAGTGCATCACCGTGTCTGCAAGGCAGCAGGAAAAACTCTCTTCAAATGTGCCATGGAAAATCATGTCCCCATCACCCCTGTGCCCGGCAAGGCAAGGCACTGAGAGCAGGCAGGTAAAATGGAGCAGCAGCACAGCTGGAGAACAGCTGGACCTGAGAGATGCAGGAGACATTGGGAATACACTCAGCATTTTTGCCCATCTATCCACAAGGAGGGGAGGGGGTTTCTGAAGCCAAAAAGGGGAAATGCCAGAATCACAGAATGGTTTGGGTTGGAAGGGACCTTTAAGATGATTCAGTTCCAGCCCCTTGCTATAGGCAGGGATACCTCCCTCTAGAGCAGGTAGCTCACAGCCCCATCCTGCCTGGCCTTGAAAAAAGAATGGATCAGGCTTTGTTGGCCTATAGATCTACAGGATGTTTGCACCCAGACAAACACAGAGAGTCAGGTCCAAAGTGCCCCAGCTAGGAGTTCATGGAAGGAAGAAGCCTCAGAAAGATTTCTGTTGTTCTGGGATGGGCTCTATGGGCTGCCCAAAGTCTGGGAGGGACCACCAAAGACATCACTTATCTCTGAGTTCCCAGAAACAGTGGGAGGGATTGCAGACAGGTTCACAACTAGCAAAAGAAATCCGAAAATTCAGCTTCACATGCCCCAGGCAATGGACTGCTTAAGCACATGGAAGAATTCCTCATCACACACAGGAGGAAACAAGGACCAGGCAAAACAGAGGCCAGTGCTTCATCGTCTCTCAGTTAAAAAAAGAAAAGAAGAAGAAAAAAAATGTGACAGGGTTGTGCTGAGCAAGAGAGAGACCTGCTGAATTCACTTCTGTGCCTAGGAGAACTCTGTGTTCCTGGTGAATAACGCTCAGTGAGTGAGGAGCTAGGAAGAATGCCTTCTCTTTCCAGCCATATCTAGAGTAATTGCCTCGGGCTCTGTGAGGGCTGGTTGCTCTGCGGTTAACTCAGCCTCTCTGGCATGCAACTAAAATTAAACCTGCAGAAGCAATCAGGACACGACAGTTTTAAAACCCTGTGCTCAGGGGAGAGGATCCGTGGATCCACTCCGATACAGATATCTGTAGGCTGTTGACTTGCAGACAGAGACGTATCTAAGGGCAGCTGACCCTGAAACTACGATATAAACTATTTCCAAATGCACAAGAAATCTATTTAAAACCTGCCCTCTAACACAAACAGCTCTTTTTATTTGCAGGTAGCCCTCAGCTCTGGGCAGTGTGCCACACTCTCAGGAACTGCAGCACCTCAGGCAGTTGTGGAGCTTTACTTCTGGGTCGCACTACACAGACTGCATCCCTCTCAGTTATTTGGATGCCAGAATTCTGATTCCCTGCAGAAGAATAGGTTTGCTCACCCTTGACAGGCAGCAGCTGCTGGAGCATAATTCAGCAGCTGGTTTTAAACCAGCTTACAGAGAACAGCTAACAGACACTACCTGGAGCAACATGAATATGAGGACTAGTGCTCACATCTTGTTGTCCTTTTTGCTACACAACCAACTCTTCACAACATGTTCATCTTTCCTTAGGCACACCTACCAACACTGTTCCTACCCCGTGCCCTAAGGTTGAAGAGCACCTGCTGCTGTAGCATGGGAGTATTCTGGCAGAAAGCTGCTGAACACGACAGTGCAAGCTCCTTAAGGAGCCAAGACAGCAGACAGGGAGGCAAAATTTTTTGACACTGGAAATACAGAATTATAGAACAGTTTGAGTTGGAAAGAACCCTTAAAGGCTATCTGGTCTGACTCCCTGCAATGAACAGGGACACCCACAGCTCCATCAGATGCTCAGAGCCCATCCCCTGACCTTGGCTGTCTGCAGGGATGGAGCATCCCCCACTTCTCTGGCAATAACTGTACCAGTGCCTCACCACCCTTATCATAAAAAGCTTTTTTTCTTATACCCAGTCTAATTCTCTCCTCTTTTAGTTAGAAATCATTTTTCCTCATCCTACCACAACAGACCCTACTAAAGAGTCTGACAGGTTAGTAGTTCCCTTCCACCTAACCAAGCCATAAGTCTAACAGGATCCTAGGCCACATCTGCTATCAGCAGGGTTGGATTTCCTTTTGCAGAGCTTACCAAGCTTTGGAACATTTTGTTCATGGCTATTGCAAGGACTCTCATATTTAAAGGTCTTTATCATGAGGAACTGTTGTCTGCAGTACCAGGAAGGTACAAACAGCTGTGCCTTCCACCTCGAGACAACTGAGATACTTTACTGAAATCCAGTGGGGAGGTAATAACTGCGAGTTAGTTTGCGAGACCACAAAATTTAATCTCTAAGGTAAAGTGTGAAAGGTAAGAAATACAAAATTGACAGTCTTAAGAAAGCCAAAGTAAAGTTGAAGACTGAGACTTTTATCCTTCCAGGTGGAATTTATTTTTTTTTAAGAGATAAAAAGCAACAGTGGCTCTACACAGCTTTACCAGCCTGGGGCAGCTCTCTGCCAGTCACTGGCATCATCATTGGTCTCTGCCAAGATATCATCAACGCTGTTTGTTCTGATCCACTGGGACTGTCTGTGGGACAGAATGTCATTTGTCTTCAAAGCCTGTAGTGAGGGACTACATCCTCCAGAAATACAATCTCCTCTGGATCTGAGGCAGGCCTGGCACCGTTATACAACAGGCTTTACTGAACAAGAATTACTCCACAGAAAGAAAAACATCAAATGAAGCAATAAGAAACCTTAGAAAATGCAATTTGAAAAAAATAATAACAAGGACCGTATCAAAAACACAAAACAAGCTGTTAACCAAGCAGTTGACCAGCCTGGAAATTAACCCTGCTGTGAGAAGGAGGCTGGATTACACGACCTCCAAAGATCCCTTCTAAATTTCTACAACTCTGAATTTAAAAACTCCAGATGATGTTTTTCAATTCTTTAAGTCATCAGAAAACCAAGCACTCATCCTGGAGAGAGTGCCACAGCCAAATCCCAGCACAAAGAGCTTGTCCAGCTGTAATGCAGCACAGACCAAGCAGGCTGGTGCCCATGACAGTCAGTACTTGCCAGCAGTCACTTCTCCCTGGGATCTGAATTCTCAATACATCTGGACTAGGAAATGCTCTGGAACGTGCCATTCCATCAGCTCTAGCACCAGAGTCCTCCTTGCACATTTCACAAACGCAGCTTCACATCCATGTGCAGAGGATCCTCTGGGCAGGTACACATGTCCTCAGACCTGGCTGAACTTCATCAACAGCTGGGGAAATGTACCTACTGTTAAAGCATGCTCTTATTACTGCCACAAATGTTTTGCTCAAAACTTGGCTCTGGTGGATGCCAATCAACTCAATGCAGAGGCTCTATCTGTGGGGACATTTAGTCTCACCTTCTCCCTTATTTGCACTGCATTTGTTATTACTTCACCCCATACCAAGAAGCCAAGCTGACGCTCTTAATGTTCTCACCAATACTCCAGAAAGAATCTGAATGAAGGCACCGTTAACATACAAAGCATTGGGTTTTCAGAGAAGCACTTAATTAAGTGCAACCATTCAATTTCAGTCACGCTGATTTGACAGAAATGATAAATGTAGGGCCAAATTATATCTCAGATCTTGGAAAAAGCAGCCAAGGGAAAACTCTGTCCCTGCTACACTCCAGCCCTGATGGTCACAAATTGAATTCCTCATGTTCTTGGTGACAGCTGTGCTGAGCCCTCCATCAGAGGGAACAAGGTGTGGGCCACACATTGTAGATATCTGGCAGAACAGATCACTCTGCTGCAGTCAGTAATACTGTTTTCAAAGCAGCTCTACAGTGGAGTAACAGAATAAAGCCCCACCTCAAAACTGCCCTGTGAATACCCTCCCTTCACAGACAAGGTCTGTTATATTGTGACAAGCTGAATTTACCTCCATCCTTTAGAACAGCTTCTACTTCACTGTTGGATGAGTAGAATAATGGAAGTGGAGGAGGAATAGTCAAATTAATTGCCCCAGGAAGAAGCAGCAATTCCAAGCCCTAAGATATGGCTTTAAGTACCAGCCAGGGTGGAACTGAGCCAGTCTGGTCCTTCCACAGTCTTGATGCTTGGACTGGATGACTTCTTTGAGTCCCTCCTCCAATCTTGAACTCCTGTGCTTTCAGACTGGCTACTAAAAAGGAATGGGAATTTCTACATCTGCATTGATGCAGACTAATACTGTAACAAACACTATGCATTCCTGCAGCCTTTGCACTTGAGGCTGGGAGCTCGAGTGCAACTCGCAGCCACATGGCATATGGAAAGCCTAGAGTCAGAGTTGTTCTCCCTAGGCTCTTGCAAGAGAGAGGGACAGTTATTTCCATTCAGAGCTTTACAGACGGGCAAAACCTTCTGTAAACATCCTCTCCCCAGCATGACAGCCACTCAGCTACGCCAACTTGCTCCTCAGAGTTACAGGCAGAGGAGAGCCAAGAGCCCACCCCATGCAAAAGAGCAGAGAAGGCTCCAAAGGTGTTCATCCTCCTGGCTGTGATCCAGCAGGAGGGGGAGGAAAAGACAATTTTCAAGCTGCAAACCAGCATAGGGAGCAAGCCATCTCCTTACCTTGAAACATCTTTTATTCTCTACAGCTATGAGTCCTTTTGATTGCATCTTACACTAGCATTCTGTCAGGAGAGATTAACCGTCAGTGGAAAACTGATCCAGGCAAGAACACAAATTATAGAGATTTTAGATAACAGCAAGATTATAAGCAAATAATTGACCTTTTCAACTCAGTGGAAAAAAAACCCTCTAACGATCAATTATCCATTTATTCAAGCACATGTCACTCATCTGCTAGCCTTTTAAAAATCATTTTTGAACGTGATTTTCTGCAGCACGACCTTCGTTCTGTCTTCTGACACCCTGGGTCAAACTGAGAAGTGCAGTGATTTCAGTCCTCAGAGATCAGGCTGCTTAAAAGTGATATTGCCACGATAAAGCCTACCTGAATTTTTTGATTGGAGACTGCTTCTCTTGTGCAGTTGCAAGGTGCCCAGAATAATAAATGGGAAATACCATAATGTTCCAGTTTGTTGAGAACCAAGTCATGAAAAAAGGACAGTCAAATGTCTCATAGGTGATTTTGACAAACTGCGTTGTCCCAACCCAGGAGGAAGAGACGGACAAAATGATCAGAAATCTCCAAATGAGCTTAAGAAACGTGGATGTGCAAGACTGGCACCGTGTCTGTCCCTCAGCTTCTTGGCTGCTGCTCTCCGTGTGCGCTTGTGTTCCTTCTTCTCCTGGATAAAAATAATACAGGAAAAAAAAAAAAGAAGAGTTGCACACATCACTAATGCATTCTAAACAATTCTTAGCAAAATCTCGCTTCGTGATCCAGCCACAAACCACGCCGTGCCTTTTCTCATTTAATTCCCACATGTCCCACAAACACCAAAATCCCACTCAGAAATACTTCAACAATACAATCTTCAAGAGAATAGGAACAAAAGATAAACACAATAGAGGCCGGAGGTAACAGCATCGTGGTTAAGCTGTCTGCTTTGTCAGCCCTTCTTCCCTTCTGTCAGCCAAACCTCCAGAACACAGCTACATCTCTTGGAACCAGCTACATTATAAAGCCAATGACTCTGCATGTTTGCAGCATAAAAGCTATCCGACCCCATACATCTGGAGCCAGAAAATGGCTCTTATTATTGAATATTTTAACTCAAAAATCACTGTTTTATTTGAAAGGTGAGGAATAAACAGTCTGGTGGTTTGATGTTTCAAGGCAGAGACAGGGATTATTTCAGTCAAGTTTCTGTATTTACACTTTTGAAGTTAAAAAAGGAAACTGAAGAAAACTGAAGCTTGGCATGCCTGAAAATAAACCTCTAAAGATAAGCAAGAGGGAATCAAAAAGTTGCCATGTTTCATTTTCGTACAGTACTTTCCAGACCTAATCTATAAATCACTGGAACCAGCACTGCAGAGCACCAAACCCCACTGACTGATGACTGGCTCTCCAGATTTACTGATGCAGCCCATGAACCCCATTGTGATTGCACAGATCCCAGCTGAAAACAACGGATCCGACTGCAGCAGCAGCTCTCTGCCTTCATTTATGCCCATGAGCTCACGCAGCACCAATGAGCTCTGATATTTACCACATTAGAACATATCACGTAGTTTGACACAAGGAACAGGAGTTCCTTCTGAAAACCATGACCTGCAGCTATTCTCCACTGTTAGTAGCTGCATCAATGCAATATGATACAGTGTAAGAAACTACAAAGCTGCTGATGCTAAGGGGAATTACAGACCTACTGTAGTGAGAGCACCCACACGCTTTTCTATGTCCAACCTAAACTCAGTTCTGACTTTTCTTCTGTACTACTGTTTCTGCTACAGCCATAAGGAAATGTAAAAGAGAGGTTTTGAGTTATTAAATTAGACCAACATTCTAAAACTGACTCATCATAACAGAGAGAGTAAAATTTGCAGTCAAGAATTTACATAACTGGGACATGAAGCTTTTTGTAATTGCGTGGTGCATTTTTTCCCCTTAAAAATAACAAGTATTTAGCTGCTCCACTGTTTAGTGATGAATCAAGAACTTAAATAAAATTACAGGCTGATTTAAAACATATAGATGATAATCAGACAGAACTCTGAATAGAAAAGCACCACTGTAGCATTATCTTCAGCTACTGAGAGAATACAGATCTTTTGATAGCACTAATAATGATTGTTATCTTCTGTTAAAAAGTAAATTACAGTTTATTTGCAAGTTAAAATGGTTTAGAAAGAATATATTTCATAACATCCTCTTAGGGGTTTTCCTGCTAAGCAAAACTACCATGCAATTAGTCCTTCTTCAGCTAGCAGTGAAAGCAATCACACAATGATGGAACACTAAAGCACCTTTACCTACACATTATATTTTCCAATTACCAAATAACACTGTAATTGCTGTTACAATGCATGACACTATCATTAGCATTTGACTTGGTTGTTACAGCACCAAATGTTGGGGAAAGGCACAGAAATACACACTTTTTACACATCCTAGCTTGATTTAAAAGACCTGTGTGAGATTTAGCCTAATTAAACATACAGTAGGGAGGTTTTGTAAGTGCTTAATTGACAGGATTCACCCCATGTAATGTAGTTAGCAATTGCTTTTCGGGCTAAAAATGTTGTCTAGGCTCCCTCTACACTAGGTGAGAATGGACAGGCATGTTGAGAAAATGGCTGATCTCATCCTCATGTACCAAAGGGAGATGGGATGTATGACCCACTGGAGGCCCTTATCTTGCCTTAGGCTACATACCTACATGTGAAGTGAAATCTCCAAGCAAAGTGGCACAGTAGCTTGACAATTGCTTTTGAAATCAACGAGATGCTTATACTGAAAACTTGGTCAAAGATGCACAAGGCAGAGATAAGAAATATCTTTAAAAGAATCACAGGGCTTGAACTCAAAGAGGGTAGGGACATATGGAAAGCAGACACACAATTCACAATAAAAAGGTTGGAGAACTTCCAAGTGATGAAGTTGGGTCTGAACTGAGCTGGAAAGTAGAATTTGAGTCCAGATACTGAATGCTGTGCTGAGAAGAAAATAAATTCATGAGCCAAAGTGGGGGCAGATAGCATTTTACAATTAGAAAGGTCATAGAAATCCTTGGTGACTTACTTCAGTTTGAAGCTAACCAACTGACTTAACCTGTCAAGAGCACGGAAGCAATCTGAGAACTCAGCAAGGATGAAAAGAGAGGGACAGAATGCAGGTGACACACGCAGATGACACTGGTCAATGGCAAACTGTGCTGAAAGTCAATGACCAGAAATACCCTCGCATGCTCCTTTTGTCTGTCAGTAATGTAACTTATGTATTTAATCTCTCTGTAACAAGAGGAACAATCTTTTGCTTTTGTTTTCAAAAGAATGAGATAAATAAAATCAAAACCTACAGTTTTTCTTCTGAACTCTTAAGTATTTCATAACTACATCCTAGAAAATGATATTCTTTATATTTGTTCACCTACCTGTCAGGTCACTCATGCTTAGACCTCATTGATGAGGAAGATCTGGATAAAAAGGGTGCCAAATAAACATTTGGATGAATATGATGACACAGTATTACTCTTTTCTCAATCGAGCTACAGGTCCTTTCTTAACAAAAGATAGATTCTGATTTGGATGTACCCTTGTGCAAGTAAATATGGAGCTATTCATCCTAGTATCTGCAAAACAATGAGAACAGATGATTGGTTTTCTAGTATCTAATATCTTCATTGCAAGATGCCACTCCTTGCTGCAGTCATCGCCTTTAATGTCTTTCTGAGGGTTTCCATCAAAAGAGTACTCCTGGAGTACAAGATTCCTCTGTTTTCCATCCAACTCAAGGCAGAAAATAGCTGACTCTTGCTGCCATCAGTGATGAAGTGACGAGATAAAGGTTCATCTCCCACAGTTCCAGTGTGCAAGGGAGATCCAACCTGCTCTTCCTCTCCTTTTTGCTCACAGTATCTACATATACTGTTTTGCAAGTACTCGGTACAGTTACACTATTTCAGTCATTTAACTGCTCTTTCCTCACCAGTACAATCCAGCACACTCAAAGGTCTCTGGCTGCATCCTGCAACTGCTCTCATACCACCCCCGTTGATGACAGATGGACACCATGGTGAAGAAGCCAGCGTTCTCCATACGTACAGGTTCATCTGAGCTAAACTTCTGCAAAAAGCGTGTGACACATTCCCAGTGGAAGCCCTGATGTGCAGCTGCTCGATGATCTGAACTGTGACGGTCTTTTCCAGACAGCCTTCCACCCGTCGCTCCTTCTGTTCCTCTTCATCAGACTGTCCACGGTACGAGCTGAGATTGTCATTGCCTTTGAGAAGGTAAATGGCTGGTTTTAAGGATCCTGGTCTCTGGCCAGGCTGAAGCTGAGGAAACACAACCACTTCATAAGACTAACTGGCACGCTAATGTTAACCATCCTTCTGTGCCAACAGGATTTCTCAGATAACGCGTTCTATGTTCCTACCGAGGCCCAGCACTTCCTCTCCCATCCTTGCTTCCTTCTTGCCTAACCCCAGTCTGCACACAGGTACAGGAAGGACTTTCACAAGGCCATGCAGTTTGCAGCACCAAAACCCAACGTCAGCACTCTGCACCGTCTTTCCAAAAACCAGACAGGAGAGGCCTTTAGCAGGCATGCTGCGACACCGGCAGCGCGGCCGTTATGCCTACCTGATCTGCTCTGCCTCTCGACTCTGCTGTGCCGACAGATTCCCGAGGGACTTCGATTCTGCAGCTCAAGAATGGGAGCAGCAGAATCTTCAGCCACAGATAGAGGGGAGAGCTGCCTAGTCATGCCTCTGTGTCTGCTGGGGCAGTTGCCTCCTGGCTTGCATTGGATGACAGATGATCGTGAGGCACCTGAGAAGAAAGAGTTTGCATCAGTTTGGCTGTAAACTCCCTGCAGGAAAGCCGGGCTTTCAAACACTGTCAGCAAAATGCATACAAATGAGTCAGTGGGAGAAAGGAAGCACACTGCAAAAATCAAGGTTTCAGCTGTGGTCAGAATAAAGTAAATAAGTAAGTAAATACTTAACTCTCTCCCCCCTTCAGATAAATGCTGCTGTACGAAAACCAGTCTTTTCCCTGAAGAAATGAGAGCCTTATGCTGCAGCATACTCTCAGCCATGCAGCTCCATCCACAGGGTCTGAACAGTCAAAGGAATCTGTACTCACGTGGGCCCCTCCTAAGCACTGACACTGAATCAGGCAAAAGGAGAGGTCACCATTCCCCATAGGACAGAAAGAAGGGCTGAGGAACGACTGGAGTTGGTGCTGAGAGCCTCTCAAGGCAAGAGCTTCCCCTTCCATCCTTCAGAACCACTCTTGAGACTCTTGAATTGGATGAAGCCTTGCTCACTGATGGGTCGTTAGCACGCAGGCATTTGCTAACTTACAGAAGAGGTCAGATTGAAGGCTTTAAGTGCACCGTGTCATAATCTCTACATCTTCATGCACGTTGCTTTCTCTTCTGTTGCAAGGTACAACCACCCCCAAGACACTGCGTGTCAGAGGGAGACTTTACAAAGGCAGTGAACGAGCCCCAGGTGCCAGAAACACCGGCAACACCAGATGAGAAGTTTGCTGGTGAGAAGGATACAGCATTTTACAAGTAAGCGCTTGAAGGACTGGACTAAGAACCAGAAAGAAACAGAACAGAGCACGGTGCTGGAATCTGGCCATCTGGCACATACTCCCAAACTTACTGAAGGCGTCTGTTGAAGAGGTCAGCACGTGAGCAGCACATCAGTTTTTCTTCTGAGTCAGTAAGCCGAGATGACAGGCCATTTTTGATAAGCGTGTGTGTTCATGGTCTGCTGAGATCACCCACCTCTTCTTTTGCAGCTGCAACTTCAGTTGGTGATCACTTCACCCAGCGTGACACAAGTCACATATACTCAGAGCAGCCACTGATTTTGCCATGATTTGGAAGCTTTAACACAACAAACACTTACCTCATGCTGAAAAGCACAGAAAAACCGCCATAGAACTCATGTGTAAGATGCTAAGTGTGCAACAAATGCAGCAACAACCTCCTGGAAGGCAACACTCTTCATTACAACACAAGCCACTTCCGTGCGCTTGGAGCAAATAACTCCACACCAGATAACAACATGGAAGCATTTCCTAAAGCATGGATTGTATTCAGAATAACAGAGGAATCAAGTCAACATTACTGCCAGAGGAGGCTGAGGTTCATATAACTACGCATGAATTTGTGTTGTGTTTGATTCACCTGCTCTAACGACAAAGACCACAAAGGAGACATTTAGAACACAGTCTATGACAGTATAAACACTGAAGCTGACTTTGAAGGACCAACACCTATATTGTTTCTAGGCAATAGATTGTTTCTCCTCTTTTTTTTTTTTTTTTGTGAGCATCAGAGCTTTTTAGAGCCTACAAGACATTTTCAAACCCTTAAAACGTTTTTCATCTTCATATATTTCCTTCTTAATGGAGAAAATATTGATCAAATAGCCACACAACTCTTCCCATGACCTTGTTCTGCTCATTTCACAAGTCTAAGCCTTGATCTTCGCACTCGTCACCACCACTACCACCACAAGAAGCATCATCACACCTTTATTCGACAGCTGAAAGTTACTTCCTATCTCTGCAAGGTTAAGACAAGCAGCACCTTCTGGCCTAAATATCCAAAAAGGCACTTCCAAATCTTCCAGTCCTTAGGGAAGTTTTATTTTCACTTGCTGACTGCCTGTCCTCCACCACCAAGGCGCATCAACCCAAATCACTGCTCACTTTGATACACATCTTTTAAAGAGATTTCATTACGTTAAAAGGCACATGCTACATCTCAATTCATGTAATTTAGAGCAAGCTCAAGATTCACGTTATACTCAGCAGAAGTCTACCAGATGATCCGCAGCCAAAATTTCAAGGATGCCTGTTTTTCTTGTATGCAAAAAGAGCTCAAGAGTTATTTATATCTGGTACAATAAAGAAACACCAATCTTTTCCTGTACATTGAGAAACTCAGCAGCTGAGACCAAAACTGCAATTCAGGAGATTGCATGTAATCGAAAGTCACTGCTTGATATAGTGAGATCTCCTTTTATATTTGAAAGCAATCAGATAGCACAGCAATTTATCAAAATTTCCTTGTTACAGCTGGAAAGCGTGGGCCATCGAATGCTACTGAATCTGACCATATTTTAAAGAGATTCTTTGACAGGGAAGGTGAAGAGAAATATGCTGGGCTAATTTCTCCAACCTCAGTATCAGCTGCAAGGACAACAAATCACCATTTACAAAGCACTCCAACAAAACCTTGCACATGTGCTTCTAACCCACGTGTTAGAGGAAAGGAAAACAGAATGCTGTGTAATTAATTCCCATTCTTTGACTCACACAATAATTACTGGCGCTCAAGAAGGGATCCACTGAGACCCACCAGACAGAAATCAAGAGCAGCATTTCCCACTGAATTTTTGTATACGTGAATCCCACATGCCTATGGAGACCTTGGAGCCTCAGGAGGTGAGAGTATGACCTCCCAGAATGGACAACAGGAGAGTCCTACCGTAACACAGCATGTGAAAATGAAGGAACAGCTAAAAAGCTCCCAAAATACACTTCCACCAGAGCAAAAGTGGAGCACCACTGTCGGGGTCACAATCTTTTGACTTAATATAGATGTAAACCTTAGGATGAGTGCCTGTTACAAGAAAGAACAACCATCTTGAGTGGAAATATTCATGCTGGGTCAGACTTGCTACTCAACTATTTACCTGATTTTTATTATTTTTTTTTTAACTGAAAGAAAAATCTTGCCAGAGTGCTGGATCTTGCTGCTAGAAGAGTTCCTTGACTGTTTGGAGCTTATAATCGAGTGCCAAAGTAACACTCAGCCCATACACTTGACAAAGGAGGGAATGGAAAACAGGAAAAGGCTGCACAGGATTGTATCAAGCATTTAATGAATCAAATCCATCTGGGTGACTTTCCATTATGGATAAAAGCTACCCCACGCTCTGCCCCATTTTTTAAGATTATTATTTATTCTATATCAGCCAAGTCTTTTTTTCTCCATCCTAGAAATGCAGACACTTTACTTTAGGAAGTAAACAATTTCTCTATATATGCAGACTAAAGGAGTCCAGCAAGAACATGTGGCTTTCTACATGCTTCTATCAGAGTCAGTCCATGTCTTGTATTAATTACTATATATTTATTCCTGTGTCATTCAATTTAGCAAGGTAATTATGCTTGTGACTAACCTAAACCATGTGATTAACATCACTGAAGCCCACGCCTTTCCACGTTCTTTAACACTGCTCTGAACCCAGGCTGATGGAGAAGGTGAGCCACCAGAAGCTGCTGCTGTCTTGGTTCCAACCAGGAGCCAGCAGCACGTGGCTTGTGCCCCCAGAGCCATTTTCACCATCCATCTATAACCTGCACACAGCTCCCTCGCCTCTTGACTCTGAGAAATGTGAAGCAAGATCTGTGGCTTTCCATTTATACACAGACTTTCACGTGCAGTTCACACAGTGAGAATATTTGCCCCTCTGTGACTTCGGGGCTAGACAAATCACTGTTATTATGCAGGGGGCTAGGAGAGCAGGGATTTTGCTTTGAGATTCAAGAACAGCGATTTTCAGATTAGTTTTGTGTGTATACAGCATATTCACTGAGTGACAATACTGCTTAGAATATCAAAAAAGATGCCATTCTGCAAGGGACATCTTTTCATCTTTTATGGCCTCAACGTTGCTACTAATAACAAAGTGAATGGACTACCAGTAAAATAATAAATTCATTATAAAATTGTAGCCCTGGGAATAACTTTAATGGCCTCATCATCAGATAACTGATTTTTTTTACCTTTCTTTTCTTACCTCAACAACTGCCCCAATAGAAATGGAGAACCTCTCAAATAGATAACTGAATTCTTTTCCATAACCTCTCCATGTCCATAATACAAAGTGTTTACTAATTTGGAGACAGCAACATCTCCCTTGCTGGCATGTGCTTTGTTGGTTTGCTGTTGTTTTTTTTTTAATTACAGAACTAAATTGATGGCTAAATGGATGACATGCTTCTGAGCTGGAAAGTTTCTTTTGTTTTCACAGTCCTACAGAGGAGGGAGGGATCATCCATAGCTATCACTGCAATCAGGCAGTAGGCGAGCTTTGCCAGAAAGTCACTCAAGGCATTTACAGTCTTCCTTTTACTCATACAGCATTAAAATCTGTTTATTCTACCGTGTCCTCAAAATCTCAGCTCCTAATATGTCATTGTTTGTGCACTGACAACATGATGTCTTCACGCCACTGCCGCGGAAACAATCGCTGAGCTTTGACAGATGGATGGAGGTAGAAGCCAGGCTGGTGCTATGCGAAAAGTACGTCAATCGAATGTTCCTGCTAAATTGGGCACCAGTGAAAGAATTGACAACGCTTCCTTTGTGTTGCAACCTTACCTGCTGGTGAGCATCCGCTGCAGTGAAGGAGAAGCTCACACATCACCAGCCCACCGCTTCCAGCAGCCCGTGTGCACATGCTCATGTTGGTAAAAGCACACAGCCATGAGGGCTGGAGATTCTTGCAGAGAAATTCTGGTCCTAACGTTGTGCAGTAAGGAGAAAACGATGTAAAACTTGTGGCTGGAGAAACATCGGATGAGCACGACTCAAAAGAAATAGGGACTGAGTTGCAGTGCCATTGTATAGGAAGACAGCTTCTTCTGTCAATTTTATAACAAGAAAACCTCATTAGAGAGCATTAGCTATGGCTTTAATTGGATTGTTTGCCACTGCTACCACACAGCTGCGGGCAGGGCTACCTAGTGGAGTCAGGTCCACAGTTTGTTTAATTTCAGCCAAAGGGACTCAGTGT